AAGCCACACTACTGTGGTAGAGCTTGGGAGCAAAATTCAGTGCTATTCTTACACTTACAGAAGTCCATATCATGTTGAGGAAAACAGGATTCTTAAATGGAAACAAGGATATTTAATTGTCTTTCACTTGGCCTAACTCTTATTCCTAATCAAGAAATGGGGCATTTCTTAAAGAATAATTGTTTTGTTTTCTAATTATTTCATTCAGTGTGAAAATAGTGTACACTGAGCACAGCTTTGGTACTTTCTCTGTGTTTCTCTCTTGCTCCTTCCCCCACCTCTGCCTCTTTCTGGTATTGGGGATGGAATTTAGGATCTTGTAGCCCAGCGGGAGGCCTGGGCGTGGCTTGGTGGCCACGGTGCCTCCTGGGCAGGGACCCTCGGCCCACCCCGCCCGACCAGCCTGCGGCCTTTTTCTATCGGAGGAGGAATAAATTGTATCATCTTAGGGCGAATTCACTACGGAAGCAATAAACCTTTTACAGAACCCAGCGCCTGTTTGCTGTCCTCCTCGTGGAAGCCGAGTCTGCCCGCTCTGTGGGATCCCCGCGGTGGCCTCCGTGCTGGTCCCTCGGACCCTGGCACCCTCCTCAGATCGGCACAGGTCCGGGTGGATGCGTTGCCCTTTTCTCTCCCTGGAAGATGGGAGAAATAGAACAGACTGGGCCATTTAGCAGTGCTACCGGCACTCCGGGAGGCTGAGGCAGGAGGGTTGCAAGTTTGCGTGCATCCTCTGCAATTCAGTAACTGGACAAGGCCTTGTCTCAGAAAATGAAAAGGGGCTGGGGATGTGTCTTGGTGCCATGGGTTCAATCCCCAGTATTGTTTAAAAAAATTTTTTTTTCATCTGAAGCTCATAGTTGCAAAGGCAAACAGCCCCCATTTCACCCTGCTGAATATGCTGAAAAAGACCAGTTGTGAGAAACTACACACCATGTGCTCCCATGGCCCATGTTCCGCTTCCCCTCTTCAACTGTGTCTTTCTGCCCCTGGGATTTACCTGAAGGTTTTATATTAGATGTTTAGTGCATTTTAGTAATTGTGAAATTGTTTCCTCAGCAACCTAAGTAGCCATGAAAGGTGCAGTGAACATTTTTATTATTTCTTGTAATTATTGAGGTCTTAGATTACATGAGACAGCTCTCGCGGTATTGCCCAAGCTGGCCTTGAACGCCAGGGCTCAAGTGATCCTCCTGCCTCAGCCTTCTGTGCAGCTAGGACTGCAGGTGCTGGCCACATCCCCAGCGTGCTGTCATCCTTTGGCTGGGTGTCATCTTTGGCTTTGTGCTGCTACAATAAAACCCCACGGCCTGGGAGACATAAGCCGCAACCAGTTTGCCCTCCCCACCCCCGGGCCTGCGCGTCCTAGGTCTTCCGCATGGGGAGACAGTGTGGAGCTCTGGTGTCCGCTACAAGGAGCTGAGTGGTTGGGTCAGAGCCCGCCCTCCTGGCCTCCTCGGCCTTGGCCTCTTCCTCAGAAGCCTCACCTCCCCCGCCCCCGGGTTCGGACTCAGGGACTTGGGGTCCCAGCGGCACTCAGAGGTGAGCAGCTGGGCTGAGCGCCTGTGTGAGGTGTGCGCTCCATGCAGGGACCCCGCAGCCCCAGCTCCCTGCACGGGCTGCCCGGAGTGGCTTCCTCACACCTCGGGCAGCGGCCCCTGTTTCCCGGCGCCCCATGGGGTGTGCGTTGTGCAGACCCACGGCCGGGTCCCTGAGTCCGACGGGGACCCGGGCAGCTTGAGGGACGCTGGGAGCTCTCTCGGCCGCCACCCGTGTCCCCGCTGCAGGGCAGGGTCCCCACCGGATCCGTTTGATCAGATGGTGTCGCAGCTGCAGAGAAGTAGTGGCCAGGCCCTGCAGGAGTCCCTGGTCCGGTCACCAGGTGTCAGCCCGTCGATGTCTGATGGGGCTTTGCACGCAGGTTGCTGGGGGCTGGCTGCCTGGTCCCCCCTCCGACTTAGCGGTTATTCCCTGAGGTAGCAGCTTGGCTCAGGCGCTGTCACTCTAGGAATGGTAGTTTGTTTATTTGTTATTTTTGAGACAGTCTCACTATGTAGTTCAGGCTGGTCTCCAACTTGAAGGGAGTCTCCTGCCTCAGCCTCCTGAGCACTGGTATCACAGTGCCACCACACCCAGCCCTAGGAACGGTATTTATGTGTATGTCTGGGCACTTTCTCCTTAATAGTCTTCAAAGGAATGTGAGCCCTAGCTCTCTGCGGGTCGGAGGAGCATGGGGGACCCCTAATCTAACACCCATAGGCTGCGTGGACCCTGGGATTCGGCCCTGGCGACCCCGTCCAGCCTCAGGCTGCTGGACCAGAGAGGGAAGGGGTGCTGGGACCTCGTTAGCCACAGTGGCAGCGATGGTGGTCCGGCTGGCACTCAGGCCAGGACCATGTAGCAGGGCCATCGATGGACCGGGCAGGGACGGGACTGCCAAGGCCCGGGCAGTGGCTACCCCTCCCGGTCCCTGCTTAGCGCGCACAGCGCTCCACGTGCCTCCTCCTCTGCACCCCAGGCCGGCATGTGGGAGAGGCTGAGGCGCGCCCTTGGCCTGCGCTCTCCTGCGGCCCCAGGATCCCCTGCCCCAGGCTCAGGATCCAGGGTTAAACGGAGCGAGCGGGGCGCGGGTGCGGGGCACGGCCACCAGGGGGCGCTGTGGGTCCCGCCTCATGGGCTGCAGCCGTGAAGACCTTGCCGCTTCCCCCTCTGGTCACGCGGGGCTGAACAGCGGCTACTTTTTGAGGTTCTGGATGTATTAAAATAAAAAATGAAAACCTATGAACCAGGGCTGCAAAGATCTATTTACATTTTGGAAGCTAGCCATTTACATACGCACACGCGCGCACACACACACACACAAGCATAGTGAGGGCCGGGGTTTGTAGAATTCTCAGGACAGGACTCGGCCGGAAGTGGGTGCAGTCGGTGTTGCCGAACCCCAGGACCGACAGGACGCCTGAGATCATCTTGAAGGCCGAGCTGCAGCACCTGTATCGCAGGCCCCGGGCCTCGGGTGGACACGGACCTCGTGGAAACTGTGACCAGGAGGCACCGCCCACTCCCAGCGCCCTGGGGTGGCCTGGGGCCCCGCGTCCGGCCCTCCCCTCCTGAGGCAGATGCCTGCCAGCCTCGTGGGCCAGGAGTTTTACCCTGATGGGGACAGGCTGTCGGGCTCACTTTTCAGAGGAGGAAACGAGGCCCAGGGGGAAGCGGTAATGGCCGATCAGGGTCAGAGTCCAGAGCTGAACCCGCGGTGGCCACTGGCAGCACCGGCACTGGGCTTTCTCCCTGCCGCCCTGGCCGGTGTATGGGACCCCAGCGTGGGGCCCCTCGGCTGTCACAGGCCCCGGGGGTGCAGGCTGCTCCCCGACCTGCCTCTGCCTCCATCTTCCCGCTGCACGGCCACGACACTTTTCCAGAGGTGGCAGTGGGCGGAGAAGCCCGGAGACCACAAACACGACTGAAAACAGAGCCCCAGGGTGGGCAGAGGCCAGGACTCTGGGGAGGGAGGCACAGGACCAGGCATCCCAGGGCCAGGGCTCACGACTGGGAAGGGGCTTCCCAATGCTGTCACCGTGGGCTCCGGGCGTCCCGTGTGCCCCTCTGCGTCCTGTGTCCGTGTCCTCGAGGATCGTAAAGGACACTTGGTGCACGTTGGCCTGGGGTGAGTCGGTGATTTCAGACTCGACCGAAGTCCTCTGGGAACCGACCGAGACCTCTTTTACTTGGGGTTCGCCTGGTTCCAAGGAGCTGTGCTGCAATACCAGGCGCTGCCAGCAGGTGCCGATGCGCCCCACTCCGTCCGGGCTTCCCTCCAAACCACTCCTGCTTGTGTCCCAAATTCGGCCCTTTGCGTGACCGGCCTGCGTGGCTTAGGGGATGCGGATTCAGGCGCTTGCAGAATCCTGCAGGCGGTGTAGACGGGCTTGTTTTCTCTGTTTGAAGGCATGGGGGGAAGAAGGCACGCCTGGTCCAGAAGCTGGGCCGGAGAGCTGGGCTGTGTGAGGACACATTCTTTGCCTCCCAAAGTGGCACTTTCACGGCTCAGATCTTGTTTTGTTTGTTTCTGTCTTTGTTTTTTTGAAACAAGGTCTTGCTCTGTAGCTCAGGCTGGGCTTGAACTCGTGGTGATCCTCCACCTCAGCCTTCTGAGTGCTTGGGTTACAGGTGTGCACCATCATGCTTAGCTCAGCACTCTTATTTTTTCTTTTATTGAGTTTATTGCTACACTTTAGGGACACAGTACAGTTCCATTCATCACTGGGATCTCGTACCTTTACACGACAGATCTTGGTTCTCATTTATTCCCCTTGTCCCTGCCCTCCCTTCACCCCCTCCTCCCCTTTTTTTCACCCCCTCCTCTCCTCACCACTTTCTATTACACATTTTGATCCTCTTGAGGATAAAAAAAAGTTTTTCATATCAGAGAAACTATTCAGTATTTGCACATTTAAGTCCTATTTATTTTACTTGAATATGGCCTCAATGTACCATCCATTTAGCTATAAAAATCTCTAGTTTCTTATTCTTTAAGGCTGAGTAGTATTCCATTGTATTAAAAAAAAAAAAAACACCCACATCTTCTTTATCCAGTCTCCAGTTGATGGGCACTTGGGCTGTTTCCAAGTTTTAGCCATTACAAACTGTGCCGCTATAAACATGGGTGCACATATATCACTGTGGTATGATACTTTTAATTCTCTTGGAAAGATACCCAGCAGAGGGATGGCTGGGTCAGATGGGACCTCTCATCTTACTAGTTTGAGGAATCTCCACCCTGATTTCCACAGTGGTTGCACCAGTCTGCACTCCCACCAACAGTGGAGAAGGGTTCTCTC